GTCTAGGCCACATACCAGGCAACAGTGTGGTTACAGACACATGCAAGAACGTTTTGGATAAAGAAGAAATAATGCACTGGCTGAACAGAATGCTAAATTATGCTGCAGTACAAAGTGAGCTTCAGTAAGGATGATGAGTGAAACACCTGCAAAGCACATCCTTAATCTTAAAGCCATCCCAGTTTCTCACTGAGAATTCTTGCTTGATAAGCACTACCTACAAGCTGTAACAGATCAGATTTACAGGCAACAGGAAAGAAGGCTCAGACAAAGACAGGGGAAAAAAAAAAGAAGAAAAAAATCACAATGAAGAAGAAAGCTGGGGTCTGAAAAGGAGATGACAAGGACTTTCACAGGAAAAGGGAGGGGGGCATCGGATGAGAGCAAGAGAGATGTCATGGGGAACCTGCCTGGTGGAAGGTGAAGGACAGGGAGTATGAAGTCCTCTGGTGATTTCTGTGGCTAATGGTCTCCCAGTAAGGGCTCTGTGTGGCATTTAGGGAATCTTCTATTTATTTAAGCAAAAGAGATGTGGCAGGTGTAGTACTCATCATGCATGTGATAATTATATCTTTGGAGCATTATGAGCAGCAGCCAAGTGCATTCAGCGCTCCCACAGGTTAGCTATAGCCTCCCCCCCCTCAGTGCCTTACTGCTATGGCAGAAGGCTTTATCACATGTGGGTTTGCTATATATATAGAACAGGACAAGGAAGGAGGAAGAGATTTATATTTAGAGGCAGAATCCAAGAGTGAAATGGAATTTTGGAAGCATGAACTTACAATAACTGATTCTGAAAACATTATGCTCGAATCTGAAACACATTTTTCAAATGATTCTTATGATCCAGAATCTTTTGTCTTTCAGAACCAGGGTTAACTATGTCATATAAAAAAATGCTTTATAGCATCGCTAAGGGCTGTCAGATAGTCTGGATTTGGGGCCTTGCCATGACCTCTTTGTGACACTCCAAACTGGCACCTGCCAGGGCTTCAGGGTGGGCCAGATTCTCTGCTGAGTTTAAACATGGATCTCTTTTATCCCTGCTGTACTGGGAGCTTTATGTCATTGGGAGAAAGAGAGCATCCCCATCTGTGTCCAGCTCTGGAATGCGCTGAGAAACTACTGTTTAAAATCAAGGCATAGGAGCCTATACAAAAACTATTTCAGATCACTACTGAGTGTTTTTATCATAGGATCTTGTAACTCAGATTAGCTTTTAGAAAGACAAACACAAAAATCAGACCTCTACTGTTTGACTAGCTATCCTTCAAATTTTCTAAAACTCTTCTAACCTCACATAGTAATGTATCATATACAGATAAGACAGTGAAATTTAAAGATTTTATCAACATAAACTCAGGATAATCATCATAATTCAAATGTAAAGAGATGTCTCACATTCTGAGAGAGAAAGTTTTCATTTCTTTGTTCTTGGTGGATACCAGAGAAGAGAAACTATGCACTTGTGAAGGATGTGACACTCTTGTATAACAGGGATTGAGGATTTTGTGTAATTGTACACACAACAAACAATTCTGAAAAATCTTGCAGGTCTCCAAGCATGACACAAAGGCCACGTTACAGTTGTTTTATGAGTGTAGAAATTACTAAACATGAACATGAAATTATCTAGCATGCTAGTCACAACTACTTTTACACTATATGATCCTGCCCATAGGCAACTCTTTTCATTAGCACTTACAAAAGCCTTTGGATACTAGTAAAAGCACTCATGAAAGCAGTAACACAGAAATTTACTTACTATGCCTTTAGGTTATACACAACTTTGGGCAACATCCAAAAAGCTGCAACTGTGCATATCTTACAGATTTTAGAACTGTGAGAACACAGTCCTGGTGTGGTACTGATCTTGTCTGAGTGCAATATGGTGCATTCATGCAGTTACTGGTCAAGCAGCACATTTTTCCCTTTCTCTGTTCCCAGTGATACCATTTCATTGCTTCTAGTTAGGATGCTGGCATCCTTGAAGAGAAGATGCCTACCTTAGGGTCCTTTTTCCACATATTACTAGGACAAGACCATGTAGTGATATGACATTTCCAGGAATGTATGCTGTGTACCTGATAATTTCTCAGCCAAATAAAGTGTTAGGGCTAAGTTGTAACCTCAGCTATGCCTCTGCGATTCACACTGAAGCCCTGGGTCTCCATCCTTCTGCCTGCTGTCCTCTGTACAACACAATTAACACTGGGGAGTTGTAGAGAGACATGCAATGACCGTTTCTCATTTCTGACCATTAACTAAAAGCTTCCAGCAAAACAGAGCAGATGACTGGCCCTGGAGAACTTGTGTCCTTATGTGGACTGAGATGCTCCTGCTGAGCCAATCACTGAATTTCAGCAGAGCCCACACAGCAATGCCTTTTTTTTTTTTTTGTAACATTCTTGCCCTTTTTTGCACAAGCACTGGAGAGCATGCTGACCTAAAGAAAGTTATGCTGATTTTGAGAGAGGTGGTTGTTGGCCAGCAGCAGTAAGAATCTACAGAAAATCATTAAGAAAACTGGACCTGTCTAGTTTAAAATTGAGCTGGTTTGCTACTCAACAGGCTTCTTACAGGCTGTGAAAACAGGCCAGCCTTTCAGTGTTTAGTGAATAATCTTGCTTTCCCTGTGGCAAGTCACAGGCAAGGCCTGTCACAGAATCTGAAGCAGGAAGATAATTCCTCCTCCACAAGGGCATGCTATAGTCCTTTAGACACATATCTAGAGCTGACTGTGAATATCAAAACCACCTTGCTCATAATAAATTGGAAAGCAGTAGCCGAGCCTCACACAAAAGGGCCAATCCTGTGTGTTTTCTTGCTGAAGTCAGCAGTGGTTTCAGAGTTTTTGCCAGAGGCGATGGGGACTTCGGTCCTTACAGAAGGAGGCTATCTCCTTACGAGGTAAAAACCAGCAGCAACAATAGTGAACCTGCAAGCAAGCTGACTCTTTTGCCTTTACCCCTGGCTCCTAAGCTGATTATTGCAAAAACTGCATGGGAATTATGTTCCTAGCCAGAAAAGCAGCAAGGGAAAATCACTGATGGTTCAGCTGCCAGGGACAACTTCCATTGTTCATGGTATTTTCAGGACACACTGTTTTCAGTTGGAAAGCCAGCATAGTTTTTCATTTTGTTTTATCCTTTTTTATTGTTTTAACCCTCTTTGCTGGAAAAACAATCGAACTGTCCCCTAAATGTATGGAAATCCTGGCCAAAGTGAAAATGCCAAGTGGTTTACGGTTTCAGTGAAAGCAGATAGTTTTAAGCTCTCTTTCCCAAAAAAAATTCACTTTTCTACTGAGGCTCAATGGAACATTAGTTTCCACCAAGGTCTTTTTTTTTTAGCTAATACATATGTATAAAAGCAAGCTCTATTGTGGCACTCCAGATCTGTATGGTTGTATTAGAAAATTAACATTCTGGTTGTATCGAAAGATTATATATGATGACATCCTGCACAGAACAGATTACTACTGATTATGAGCAATAGCCTGTTCTTGGGAATCCGAGTCCTGCACAGCAGTAACCACAGAGGCACAGGGAAATTACTTGTTATTGTGAAGACCTGGGTAAAAGGCTATCGTGTAAATAGAAAACCATTGCTACAAGTTCTAGGTTCACCCTACTGATGTTTGTTGCAGAGGAAACATGTTTCTTTGTACCCAGAGGGAACAGGTTATTAAAGCCGTGACACATCAGAGGTAAGCTAAGTTCCACCTCTAAATGTTGTCCTTGAGGATAAAAGCTGTTGTGTTTTTATTGCAGGGCAGATGTCAGCCAGTAATTCTAAGTACAAGGGACTGTGATAGACTGCGGAAGCTGTGGGACACTTTTCAGTGTACTGTTGAACCCTACAAAATCTTTTTAAAATTCAGATACCTGATAAAGCTAACACTCATCTTAGGAATGGAACTAGTCCTTGCCACAGCTCTTCTGATGGCAGCAGTTACACCAGGAATGAATACGAATGAGGTTTTTTTTGTTTTAGTTCTAAGAAACTGGATTTACACAATAAACAAAAAGGGATTAGATGTTAGATTCCTCCTGAAACTCCTTCTGCTGGTTTGAAGACTGGCATTGCTCCAGACAGCACAGCTGATGAAGGCATTTTCTATAGTATGGATACTATAGAAATAAAAGCTTCTTTGAGACAATTCATCAGTAGGAGATAGCTCGTGTTTGAGAGGTACTCTCCTGATCTCACATAGCATATGTCTCTGTGGAGCTGAGAAAGGCTGCCAGGGAAGATCTCCTTTTTCAAAAGGCATGCTTGAGCCTGGCTTCTCAAGCAGATCTTTCTGTCATTCATAGACCCAGCCTTTCAAAGCTCTACAGTTTTTTACAAGGAAGAAAGAAGAGTCAGTAACTCTAAGTTATCTTCAATAAAAATGCTTTTTCTTTCAGTCTCCTAGGTACTTTTTTCCTTTTATCCTGAGTGCATTCTGATGGCAAGGTCAGCCTGTAACCATGGTGGTGGTGCTGCGGTGGTTAAATCCCCTAGCAGCCTGATGCTACTAAATAAATACATATATTATCTTTGACTTGAAATTTCCCTGTTGCTTCAGTCATGTCTGGTTGCACCTTGCCCAGTGCAGTCTCTGCTCTCTGGGAAAAAATGTGTTTATAGCAAGGCAATGGGGACTCATGGCCCTTAGGTGATTTTAGCAGGCTGGTAAAAGTGAAGACTCATCTGCAACAGATGAAACTCAACAATCGAACAAAAAAGTTGTCTAGCCATTTAAACTGTAAAAAGAAAATCCAGAGGGCAGATGACTGCTCAGAAGTCTGGGTCTAATCTTCAACTAGACTAAATCAGGATGGCATGACTATAATTATTAATGCTTACTCAAAGTCACTAATATTAGATGAGGAACTTACTTGAAAAGCTTAATGACTTCCCACGTTAATTATCTCTATTCTTGAACACTGGGCCAAATTCTGATTCTCTTAGTCGGGTTCCAATGAAAGAAAATACTCATTCATATAAATTCTTGCTTACATTTCATATGTTCCAGCAGGATTATTGGCCTATGGGCTGAGGGCTCAGTGAGAAGAAGCGGACTTAATACTTCCTGAAACCAGGAAAGCTGGTTTCTTTCATTGCCTGAGTGAGTGATGCAGTAACAAAACAAACCAGAAAGGATCCCAAGCCTCGGAATTAAAGGCAAATCTGAATTTACCCATCATTAAGGGATCTGAAGCTCCACAAGTATGAAACAAACATTTTCCAAAAACAGGAAGCATTGGGAAAACTTATATCTCACTCCAGAATTTCAAATACAAGACATTCATTTTCCTGGATGAAGGAACCTATCCATCTCTTAGAGATGAAAAGCAATCTGAGTGAGGTCTTGAGGATCTTAACTGGCCTTGGATAAGGAGTAAAAAAACCCCTTCTCATTAAATAGAGAAGACTTCAATTCTCCTATTATACATCACCCATTTTCAAAGGAAGTTGAAAATGGCAGGGAAATTACCTCCCTGAATCTTACATGTCCTGCTGGGTGAAACTTAGGGCTCTGTTTTAACATTTACAACATGGGAAGAAGAAATGAAGCTCTGTTTTGCTGTCATTTTCCAATCTCTTCTTCCCTCAGATGTGCTGGACATAGCCATCCCTTCTGGTAATGCCAGGAGCATGGTGATCATGGTGCCAGATCACAGTACTGCCACTCTCCTCTGGACAAGCTGGGCTATTTTAAGTAAACTCCATTCTAAGTCATGATTACTTTTAGAGTTGGGTTTAACTTTAGCTCTCCTGGCCACATTCCAGCTAAGATAGTTATGTTCTGCTTGCCAAAATTCCCCATGAAGTTTCAGTGCAAAACAAGCTATCCCTCATACATCTCCTTATACACTTGTGCCCTTTGTTTTTAAACACCTGTCACATTTTACCCTGAAGGTGGCTGAACTCTAATGCTGTGAAAACAATCCTTGCATTTACAGTTCATAAAGTGCTTTAGGATCCTTTGGGATTAAGGACATTAAATGAATGCAGCTGTAATATTACTAATATATGCAACTTTATAGTAACAGCTGCCGTCATTGTTGGCACTGTGTAGCACCAGGGGACCCATTGTGTTGGGAACCATAATTGCAGAATAGAGATGGTTCTCCAAATTGGATCCAGCTGGAAGAAGTGGTCACATATCCAGCTGCTGATTCCTGTAATGCGACAAGAACACAAGCAACTTGGTGGGGTGCTAAAGGGAAAGCTACAGCTGCCTCAGCACTGTGAATAGATCTAGCCTGGTTCCTTCAGAAAAGAAGGCATAATCCAAACTAAAATGCCAGACTCAGCAGGTAGGCAACAGCAGGCAGGTGAAGGAGAGCTATCACAAATAATTTCTCCTGGGGTGTGTAAGTCAGTGGCTGACACAGGAAAGCAGATTGAATTTACAGCATATTCCGCATATCGCATCCTGTAGCGCAGATAATATCTCTTCCTCTTTAGCTTGTAGAGGAGAGGGCCAAGGGTGCTTGTGGGAGATACAATCAACGTTTACGAGGTCATGAAAGTGATAGATAAGCTGAATGCGGAACTGTTGATCACCAAATCTCACAGCATTAGGAGGAGAGGACGTTGACTGAAAGTAGCAGTAGATCAGCTTAAAACACATATGAGAAAGTACTTGTCCACACAGCAGGTAGTGAACTTCTAAAAACTTGTTGCCACAGGAGGCTGTGAGGGCAGACAGCCTTAGCCGGTTCAGATAAATCCATGGATGACAGGTCCATAAATGGCCACTAAAGGCAAAAAGCAGAAGTGTGCCTTCTAACACTTCTAATCCAATAAGCCTGAATTTGGGAGCACTAACAGGGGACTGGAAAGTAGAAAATGGCCAGGCTTCTGCACTTCCTCTCCTGCCACTGTCAGGACATGAACACTGGGCCAGCTGGGCCACAGATGTGACAAAACAGAGCATTTCTTATGTACTTATGATGAGCATATGACAAACACTGAAGGGCTCAAGGTATGCACAAGGACAGGATAGAGCCTCAAAATGCTCCTCCTAGCATGGTACCTACTATAGCACTGATATGCTTGGCCCAAAGGAAATTTGTAGGGACTAACACATTCCTCCACAACATAAAGTCCATTCTTGTTCAAGTCATGCAAAAGGGAAGAAAGGACTCCTCTTGCTTATTATTGCTCTCCATGATGCTAAAAATTATGCCAAATAACATGGTATTCCATAAGTGCTACCTCACATTTTCGAGCATCTCCATTAACTACAATGGTGCAAGTTCAAGGAGGCAATTACTCCCTCCTAATGGATGTATTTCTCTGTCACTGCAGTACTGTGTTCAGCATTTGAAGGGTGTAATTCAGGCTGCAGGATGGGAGTCATCATCCATGTATTTCTATTACAAGACACTGTAAAGTGTAGAAGAATAATCAGAGAAATTAAAACAGACCAGGCATTTCCAGTCTTTGGTCTAGATATAATGGATTTGACTATCACCAAAGGTGAATTTTAAAATAAGAACACTGTTATCCATCAGCTCTTCTTTTAGTTATTATGCAAAACCAGATCTACTCATCCTGGGCTTTCTGTGCTTTATTTACATTTATGTAAACCCAGAGGCTGTCCACTTATGTCTGGAATGAGTTTACATTGCAATTAAGATAAGAACCAGGATCAATACATCTTCTACATCCTCTCCTTTCACCCACTGTGGGGTTTTCTTCCCCTTAAAAAGCCTGACATTTGCCCTGGCTTTATCCTACCGAGCTCAATCCAACCCCTACATACATTTATCTGTGTTTATGTACTCACGCTAGCCTAGCACCGCAGTTTTCGCCTTCCATATCTGCTCCAGGGACGTTGTCTGTGTTCACGGACTCGGTCTCACTGGTGGGCATGCTCACTGTAAGAGTCAAGGGAAGAAAAAGAGAAGGTTGGCCATTAGAACCTGGCACTTCTATTAATGAATCACATGAGTGAAGGAACTGGCTTAATGAAGAGACTCTCAGCTGCAGCTCCTGAGGATTAAGCAATTTGCTGAGCAAGTCTAGTGCTTCCCTGCACAGGCCAGGCTGGGCAGGTAGACTTCAGGAACATACAGAGATTACTCAAATGCTAAAGAAAAGGGAAGAAGCAGCTGCTCTCTTTCTTTCAGAGTCAGTTCCTGGAAATTTTATGAATGAGAACCACTGAAAATGAGAGAACCTTGCAAAGCCAACAAATAAACTTTCGCTTGATTCAATGGGACACTTAAAAAAATGCTCCTTTACTTGCACCAGCCCAACTGTCTCACTGCACTCTCCAGTCTCTTGCGTGATGAGCAGAGTGCAAATAGCAAGTACCAATAAAATAATACTGATGGCTCATCTGTCATATACTAACCATTGATGTTAAATTATAAACTGGATCCATATGGATAAGAAGGAAATTCAGACTCTCTGACCCATTCAGATCTTACCAAAGATCATCCACTGACTAAGAACTGGACAGAATCTCCTAGGCTTTTACAGAAGTATCATGGAACCAACGTCAAATGAAAGCAAACCTAGATGTAAATCTATCTTATCTGGATTCAAGGACCTGTCACATCTTCTATCTGTTATCAAATATCAGTATTTTATTTGCTTCTACAGATAATAAAAAAACCAACCACCACAATTTCTATTCCACCAGTTGCTCCCAGCCCCTGTATGAGCTCTAGTAACTCCCTAATATATAACCATTCAACATACATTAGGACAATGGATAGGATCCAATATGTGTCCTCTTCCCTCCTCTGTCCTTTTCAAATACACAAAGCAAATGAAAAAAAACTATACTTAAAACTGAATGATGGAGGAGTTAAACAGACCTCTCAGATGCCCGGCAGAACTTCAGAACATGGCCTGTATTAGCAGTAGGATATATATCTCAGATGAGACTTGAGAGCATGCACTATTAGCTGTTGAAGAGGCTTCTAACAGCCTGTAAGAATACGTTAACATACTAAAAACATATCTATTTGTGGGTTCTTGGCACAAAAGGAGGCAATGTAGAATAAATAGGTTCTGCATTTCAGTTGGGCAGATTGGGCCAAATAATAGGCCGTGGGTCCAAGTCTTCTTTCAAGGGCTAGAAAGATATCAGAAGGTTCTTTTAAAGAGGTCCTGGGTTCTTGCTTCGAAAGCATTATGGTAGAAATGTCCCTCAAAATGAATGTCCCTCTTTCCTTCATCTCATCCCAACAATGCATGTGCCTACAACATATTTCCTGGGAAATCTAAAGTTTCTGTGCTGTGTTCTTAGGACTACATGAAATAATGGACTCTCAACTAACTCTTGACTTAACTATGAAATATTGTACTCTAATGGTGCCTCTTCCTTTACAAAGTCTGGATGTTTTAATAATCTTGTCTGCTTGGAAAGACAAAGTAATGAATCAACTGAATTCATATTTTGGTGCACTTGTACAGTCAAGTAAGCTGTAAGGAAAAACAACATTCATAATTAAAATTTTCGGTCCAGACCAAGCCCTTTAGGAAAAAAAGCAAAACGCTGATATTTCTCAAGTCACCTTTGAAGATGAGGTAAAGCACTTTCAAGACATATTTGAGCTTATTTGCAAATGGAAAACAATTTTGAAGACATTAGCAAGAGATTGATTTGCAGAGCAGCTTATTATCTTGAGTGCATGAAGAGAACACTGCACAAGCAACAGAAAAAGCAAGGCACGCACATGCAGAAGTATACAAAGTTATATTATATGTCAGTCCATACAGAGATATATAGACACACACACACAGATATACACAGTGTGGACATAGAGCACAGTGGAACATTACCATGGGTTTCTGTGGAGTGACTAAACCAAGCAAACTTTCCTTTCTTCTTATCAGGCAAGTCAGCTGGAGTGCTTCCTTTCACAGACAAGATGGTCAGTGTCAAGTACCAGGAACAAGACATCAATAGAGAACATGCAGCCAGTGACAGGCAAAAGAAAAGAACAAGGAACTCAGCTTACACATGACATCCACTTCTATCTGAAAACTTCATTATGTGAATTAGAGGTACAAAATTAAAGACAAAGGTATATGGAAGTATGAAATATAATAACAGATCATCAGAAGATAATTCTTCCTTGCCTTATACTCTTTTTTTTATAGCTGACTTCCGAGAACATGAAGTTGATGAACTTAAGTTTATGGGTAAAATCCTTTTTCCAGTGACATAAATAGCAAATTTTGTCTTGTTTGATTGTCTGACAGTTGGAAATTGATGCAACTAAGGTAATCACAGTTTGTCCCCAGGCTATCTCCTGACCCTTAGGGTCAAAATCTGGACTAGCCAGTTTTTGAATGAGGTTTCTTGGCTTTCTTCCTAAACTGCTTCAATACCTGTAAACTCAAAACTGCCAGAGCTGCTAAAGGAAGGTTGTTGGGGTAATCACATTTCTCTTTCTCCACCTCTAGAGAGTAACAGCCTTCATCAACCACTCAGATGTACACTGCCCTACCCAAACTAGGATAATACCTCTAGACTATGTCTCATGATTTCCATTTGAATTTACATAATCTGTCCTCTGATGTCCTCCTGCTGCATGGATTTTCATGGCATTAGTTTATATTGACCCTCTGCCTATTATGCACAAAGGTGCATACAGATCAGATGTGCATGCACAAAGAAGTCTTAAAGAGTATTTTGCACTTCCTTAATCTTTCTGGAGAAAGCCAAAGTAAAGTGAGGGATGCTGGTACACCTGGTGGCACGTGGGCTGAAGAGGCAACTGTGGTTCAGGCTAGCTTGCTGGCACTAGCTCACAGGCATTCATTACACTACAATATCTTAAGGACAATAAAAAGTATTAAGATGGTACCAACTATAAGAGGAATGATAGCCTAAAAGTTAAAGAGACAAAAGGAAAAATGAGGCAAATGCGTATTTTCTCCCATCTGGGCACAGAGTGACTTAGGAGTGGAAATTCTGGTGCCTCATCTCCTGTGCCATGTGTGTTCAGTGACTTAGGCACTCTTACAGGAGTGGCTCTCTGTGGACTTCAAGAAATCAACTGCTTGTAACCAAATCAGAGATTCCCAGAGGGCTTGATTCTGCCAGACGTAGAGGGCACATTGTCTCTCTGCAGGCCCCCCCTCTTCCCAGCCTTCAGGTAGACCATTACATCTTCCATCTGCCACATACTTCACACTGAAGGTGTTTCATTATCCAAACTGCAGCACGGACAAGGCAGTGATCAATCCCTGTGCACACTATTCAACTGCCGACCTAACACCCTAGGACCAAGGAACTGAATACCGATGTTGTATATAGGTGACTTGACAGAAGAGAACAACTCTGCCCCCTCACCCCTCCATCCTAAGTGACAGCAGGCTGTTAAGAGGGTGAGAAGGCATTTCCATCAGGCAGTTTGCCTTTGCCAGACTATAGCAGAAGCAGCAGTGCAGCTAATAGGGCAATGAGCACACAGAGTAGGCAGCTCACCTCAACCAGACCAGTACAGTGAATCACTAACAACACAGGAACCAGTCCCATAGAAGAGATTACATATTTCACAGAATTATAGAATGGTCTGAATTGGAAGTGACCTTTAAAAAATCTGGTCCATCTCCCCAGCCATGGGCAGGGGCATCTGTCAGTACATCAGGTTTCTCAAAGCCCTGTCCAACATCACCTTGAACACTTCCAATGATGAGGCATCCACAACTTCTTTGGACAACCTGTTCCAGTGTGCCTGTCCTGGGTCAAATCACGATGGCTTTGCTTACATGGCAATCTGCTGGTGGTTTGGTTTTGGGTTTGGGTTTGTGTTGTGTTTTGTTGGTTTATTTTTTCTAATTTATTATCACATCCACAATTCACTCTGATTGATGAAATCTCACATTAGTTACATATTATTGGGGTAGGATAGCATAGCATTTTTTTTAAAGGGAAGTGAAACAACTCCTTAAAGGCATGCAAGTATCTTGTGTTTTCAATAGAGTGCAAACCATAAGGACCAGTAAGGTTTTATACTCTTTGCTTTCTGAAGCCTTTGCATTTCTTGCATCTTGCCACTGTGTGGCTCATCTCTGAATGTAGACTTTTTCTCTTGGACTACCTAAATTCCAATTTCACATTACTTACATAGCATCACTGCAGCAAGTAAAGCAACAACAAAACCTATGTAGCAGCCTCCTTAAAAATAAATATAAGAAATTCTTCATGTTATATTAATCCTATCTATGAGATGCAACAGATAGAAATAAGGACAAAGAGTCTGCAGTTTGTGACTGATTACATGGACAGATTTGTGAGACCCTTTGAGAGCCTCTGTTCCATGTCACTGGCATCAGGCATCGATACCAGCCCTACTCTTCCACTAACATATGTCCCTCCTCCTACAAAATGCCCCATGGACATGCACTGAATTATTAGATGGCAGGTTGCCAAAAGACAGCCAACCACTGAAACAGAAAGCTGTCACAACCAAATACCCCTCTGCGTTGCCCTGAGATAATTTTTCCTTTACACGCTTGAAGAATAATATTTGCTCCCAGTTCAGAAACATCATTACCACTGTTGCATCTTGCGATCATGACATGTTTGTCATCTTGGTAGTGGATGTAATTCTAATATTCTGGATTTATCTCCATGGATTATATAATGTTGCCATATTTGCTGCTGAATTTCACTTTAGTACTGTGACAATTTAAGACCCAGAGAAGATCGTGCCTGGGCAAAGAGTGCCCAGCTCCACAAACAGACAAAGCATACATTTCTCACAGATTTTAATGGGATATGTTACTATATGACTTTGCAGATCTGGGCATTATTTTCAGAACTGGGTATGTCAGAGGCCTCATTTCATGTCTCTGATTTAGTTCTTTGAGTTAGGCCACAGAGGCAGATTCCTACCACAGGTTTTCTGAA